ATTCAAAGAGGCTTGGAATAGACATCCCCTACGTACAGAAAATAATTGGAGTCCATACAAAATATGGATGAACAGTATCATTCGTGATGATAGCATCAGTGTTGGCGACCTGGATAATTTTGGAGTGGATGAAAATGGACCTATCCCAGATGAAGAGATTAATACTGTCATTATTCCAGAAACACTAGAAGATGTAGATGATGAATTAAAGGAGTTATTTCTTAGTAGACTACATGACTTTACAACAAATGAAGACGTGGATCCTTTTGTTGAATTCCTGCAAGCTAAATCAATGTTAAATGAAATATTAAAGAACTAACAATATTATTTTTAATCTTATCTCTCTTTTAACTGTATACTGACTAAAGTTTGTTTACTCTCTCTTCTTCCTTGCCTTTTTCCTTACGAATTTTGTTTATACATGTAGTTGTATTGGTAATACTGAATTATGACTGATACATGTTAATACTTTAATAATTATTTTGAAACTATTGAAATCAGAACAATTTACAATGAAATAACAAGTGTCACAAAAGTGATACTAGTAATGATAAATGAAGAGTTCGTATTGAATTCATATTGAGTTCATATTGAATGTAGACTCACTCATGCATTAGAATGCTTAACTCTCTTGGTAGTTCTGAGGTATCAGTAATAACTGGTATGCCTTTTCTGCTTTAAACTTGTCTTTAACATTCGAGGAAACCCCCATCATCTAGTAGTAGTCAAAATATCCTCCATCTGCACCAAGTGATAAAAGACAGCCTAGAATGATTATTCAGGTTACCTCTTTTTCTTGTTCCATAGTACGAAGTCTAAGCTTATCTCTGGACTGAGACTGAGTGAGTTTGAGCGAGCAAAGAAGGAAAGGAATGAGGTAAAGAAGAAGGGCAAGCTTTGTGGTACCATGTGCCTAATTCCGTATATCTATGGTAAAACATCGCTGTTCAGCCACACCCCTCCAGTTGTGATAATCGATCGATCAATCGATCCATCAATGATTGATGGATAAGTCACAATCAATCGATCGATCAATGATCATGAATCGATCAATCAATCAATATAGGTCACAACTCAGTAAATCTCTGTAATCTATTAGAAAAAAGGAAGGATTTTTATCGATAATTTTGAAACAATCGGCGTGCCATAACTATCTCTGTCAAAAAGACAGCTATCAAAAAGATCCGGATGGTGATAGTTAGTTTAAAGACAGGCCTACAAAGTTATCATAGTGACCTTCTAAAACTATCCTTTGCTGCCGTTCAGAAATGACAGTCCGAAGATTGAGAATTTTGGCCGATCATTGGTATTGTCGGACACCACGCTTTGAGAGCTTATAACTTTCTATGCACTCTTGCTAGAGCTACAAGTTTTGTCACGCAAATAAAGGATAACTATTGCTATAATACTTTGCAGTTTCATGAGATGGCAATGTATAGTTTTCCTAAAACAAGTGTCCGAAAATTGATGGTGTACGATCATTGATAATGTACTCTATATTGAACGAATTGAGGTCCATTCACCAAACAGTCACAGACACAATTATTAATTAACTTAATCATTTAGAGTGTTTTAAAAATCACACGTCACACTTTAAAGTCTAAAAAACATCTACATAGTTCTAATAACTATAATTCTATCATGCCTACTTGTAATTGACCAATCAGATTGCAGAATGCCAGGTTTCTAAATCTATTAGATACCTCCCGGGAACACTTATTAACCTCCCGGGAACACTTATTAACCTCTTGGTTTATTAAATAAAATAAGCGAAACCTGGCGCTCTACGCTTATGCTCTTATTAGTCCATTTGTCAAGCTTGGTTGATTCTTTAATGCCTAGCCTGTTAGATATGTTGTATTTATGTCAACTGTGGTCTTATTATCAGCAGCTGGTAGTTGTTTTCAAATGTCATGATAGAAGTTGGTTATACACCTCGGTATCGGTTTCTATGGCATTTATTAACCTCGCGACTGCGTCGCTCGGTTAATAAATACCATAGAAACCTCTACCTCGGTGTATAACCTATACTTAAAAGTTCAGCTCTCCTGTAATGGCTCACATAACTCGTAAATGTCAACTCTGCAGTGACACTAAAGTATCCATGCTCTAATGATACAATATTAGTGCTGTGTACATAGATAAATCTAGTACTACACATAGGTACTAGGTTTGAAAGAACTGAAGGTGCATGCTCATTAAATGGAGAGCTAAAATGAAAGAGTTTCTCGATCAAGTCAGTGACAGTGAGGATGAGTCTGGTACTAAAGGGGCTGACTCAGACAATGAAATGGACTTGTCAGAAGTTGATGCTAGAGTCAAAGAACTATATAGCCAAAAAAGAAAAAGCAGAATTAAAGAGGTAAAGGGGAGGGCAAATAAAATTGAAATTGGTGATTCTCTCCTATCTGTTTTTGGCAAGAGTTCCCTGCATTAGATCTATAGCCCATGATATTTGGCCCAATTTTGGAAAAACTTCAAAAGTTTTTTAAAATTCAAATTTGATCAGAATCAGCTCAAAACTTTCTACTCAACATAAGAACATGCATATGTATTAGGAAAAATTATAAAGATGGAAAATTCCTTCCTTTTCATTTTTGGCAAAATTTGGCCAAAAACTCTGTACTATAGCCCATGTACTATATACCTTAATAAGACAATTGTTGCGAAGTATTTAATTTAGTGAATTTTAGCAATATTTAAAAATTGCTAACTTCAATCCACACTAATCTTAATTTCTGATTATATTATTAATATTAAATGATCAAAACGCTAAATTAGATACCAGCCAAATGATAATTGCTAATGCTAATAATTGTCTCCTCAAGGCAGCTCATGGTTTTTTGTGCAACTTTATAATTTTTTTTAAATTTTAATTTGATTGGAATCTGCTACACAAGTTGTGTTGTTGTAGTACCATAATTTTATATAGTTCTAGTACTAGTTCTAGAACTAGAGTTAGATAAAATTTAGTTCTAGTACTAGTTCCGGAACTAGACTTTGATAAAGTTTAGTTCTAGTACTAGTTCTGGAACTAGAGTTTGATAAAATTAGTTCTAGTACTAGTTCTGGAACTAGAGTTTGATAAAGTTTAGTTCTAGTACTAGTTCTAGAACTATAGTTTGATAAAGTTAGTTCTAGTATTAGTTCTAGAACTAGATTTCAATAAATTTTAGCTATTGTTCTAGTTCAAGAGCTAAGTTATAGTTCTTGTACTTGTTCTGGCAATAGAGTTTAAGAAGCTTAGTTCTAATTGGAAATAATTTCTAAATACTGCTTCTTTTTGCTTCTGCTGTCATGCTTTAACTGCTTAGCTTTGAACTGAACAAGTATTCAAAAGTCTATTGATATACTTATGCATTATAATCTATGTCAATAAGTAACTAATTCATACATTATTTGTTACTCAGTCTTTGTTATGTGCTAAAATATTTCACTGACAAATTAGCACCTTCTTTGTCAACTAACATTGTTCTACAATTCTAGTTCCAAACTAGTTCTAGTACCACAAGAGAATGTACTTTTAGTTCCAGTATAGTTCTAGTACTGAGACTCTGGCAAAGTTTAGTTCCAGTTTAGTTCTAGTACTACAAGTCTTGTATAAGCTAGTTCTAGTTTAGTTCTAGTTCTTACATTGGTTGTATAAATAGTACTAGTTCTAGTTCTTGGAACTAGAACTATGAAAAAAAGGCAGTACTAGAATTGATTTAGTTCTAGTACCAAGGAACTACAACAACACTATACACAACATACATGTAAATCCAAATGCATCAGAAAAAAATTATAAAATGGAGAATTCTCTCCTAGCCTAGTCTGGTCATGCCCTTTCTGGCGAAGGGGCGGGCCCAGACTACTCCTAGCCATTTTTTGAACAATACCCTTCACTATAGTGCTCAACTGCTCATAGTCTTTGGCCAAATTTCAAAGCAATTTAGAAAATCCAAACTTAATCAGAATCAACTCAACAGCAAATTGAAATAAAGCATGCATGCATATACATGTATCAGAAAGTATATTAATTGTGCAATACACAATACATTTCTTTATTCCAATAGTATACTGAGATACAAGAGAAAGCAAAGGAGGAAAGTTGAGGAGCGTCTCAAGTCTCAGCAAGAGAAAGACAACCCAGTGACTGGTGAGGTTACCTCCGGAGGCAAAGAGAAACTCTTTTCCTTGAATCACATAAAAACCTCAAACCAATTGGAAGAGGTTGAAGGAGAAGATATTGATGGAGACGCTCTTGAGACTGATGATGAAGAAGCATCAGCTCAACGACCATTGCTAGTAGAGGAAGATTATAACATCAGGGAAGACAGCAGCAATGAAGAGGAAGAGAATGAAGAAGGAGAGATTGAGTATGAAGAGTCTGATGATGATGACAATGATGAGGATATGGAACTAGATAATGAAGATAAAAGTAAGCCATTCATTATACATGAGTACCTGACTGTGAATGACATACAGTTACTGCAGTAAAATAATGCATTGGATGAAATGAATATTTGTGTTTGTACTGTGTATGTATTTTCATAATTATGATGACTGGTAATTATGAGCATTTAATGAAGCACTGTCAACATAAATTCTTATATAGGTAATCCACTAGTTGTTAGTTTGAAAGATAAGAAGAAAGGGAAGTCTCAGAAGACTGTCCGTTGGTTCAGCAATCCTTTGTTTGAGGGAGTTCTTAGCGGAGAGAAAGATGAGGAGGAGGAAGTGGCAGCTGCCATGGAAAGATATAAACAGAAAGGAGGGAAGATCATCAATAAAGAAGAGGAACAAGTATCAAATGATGAAGATGAGAATGAGTCAGTCAAACAGTTAAACACTTGTTTATTTCAGATATTGCACATTGAAGTGTATGTGTAACCTTAATTTTGTGTGTGCTATTATTTGTTTTATTATTAATAGTGAGGACATTGTACAAGATCCAGCTGTATCTTCTACTGCTGTACAACACTCAGGGTTTGATGATGACAGTGATACATCAGAAGATGAAGAAGATGTAGCACCAAAGAAAGTACGGAAACTAGATCCAGCAGGACTGGCCATTGGTGCCCTCCTAGTCCAATCACACAAGAAGAGGCAGGATTTGATAGAGAGTGGATACAACAGGTGGACATCAGATGATCCTAACTTACCTGATTGGTTCAGGGAAGATGAGAGTTCACATTGTCAGAAGCAGTTACCAATCACTAAAGATATGGTTGACAAATACCGTAAAAAGCTTAAAGAGATAAACGCTCGTCCTATAAAGAAGATAGCAGAAGCTAAGGCAAGGAAGAAGCAAAGGGCAGCTCGCAAGCTTACCAAAGCAAGAGAGAAAGCTCGAGTTATTTGTGATACTCCTGACGTTACTGATCAAAAGAAAGTCCGTCAAATAAAAGGTATGATTATTATGATTATTATACTGCTTATATAATATGCTAATTGCATAGGAATCTACAAGAAGGCAGGGCTTGCAAGTAGCAAGAAGCGTGATGTGCAGTATGTTGTTGCTAAGAGAGGACTGGGGAAGAGAGTGAAGAGACCAGCTGGTGTGAGTGGAAGATTTAAAGTAGTGGATCCTCGCATGAAGAAAGATAATAGGAGGCAAAAGGCACAATACAAGAAACAAAGAAAACATTAGCCAATGCATTTATTATTAATTTACTTATTCATTTTGTTTTCCAAAATTATTATTATTATAAGATGATAAAAACAAAAACCAAAAACAGAAAATTAAGGAACAAAAGCAGAAAAAATTGCAACAAATAAATTATTGTAATTTTCCCTTCCTACATATATGCTAAATCATGAAAATAAGATGAAAGGTGTTCACACTTTAAAATTAAAATAAAGTTTAGCTTTCTTTTATGTCAAGTAATGGCTCACGAAACTGGTAAATGTCGCTTGTATCAAACACTGTTGAAGTGACAGTAGGCATCTTCATTCTTGCTTCATCAGTGCTCATATTTTCATCAATTTTAATGCTGCTTTCTGTGAATGACTTCTTCCCTGCTGCCTTCTTGGCTTTCTTCAGAATATTCTTCACAATTTCTTTGTTGTAAGCATGATAAGCTATTATACCCAAGAAACAAACAAAGCTAAAACTAAAGATGGCTGTTTCTGCTCCAAAGGAATCGTTTGGATTCTTTGACACATAAATGACAACAGTTGTGATCAGGAGACAAATTAGAAAGAATTGATCAAGAGCATTGAGTTTTGGGTTCTTGTAGACAACTTTAAGATGCAAAGCAGTGAGAAGAATCACAACAACTGCAACCAACAGACCAAGAGGAGCCACTCCAGTGTCTTCTTCATTTTGAGCTTTAGTAGCAACCACTGCAGCTAGTATAATCCTTACTACTAACAGCATTCCAGGCCAAAACCGAAATGAGTCAGTATAGGGACCAGCATATGCATCAAAAAATGGCTTCAGCTTAATATAGTAAGTTGTACCAATGGTACATTTAGAACGACACAGTTCCCATAAAGGAAAGAGAAGAAGGAGCATTGTGTAGGGAAGGACAAGAAAAGTTAGGACCAGTAAACCAATAATGAAGAGGGCTAAGTGACAGCCATGAGCATAATCAATAGTACCATCAACTGACCACACATGCTTTAAAGTGTACGCATCTTTTGTATTGCTCAATTCATAGATTCTATCAAAGCTGAAGATGGAGAAAATGGTACGTAGGAGTTTAGTGTAAGAGAGAAGGAGGAGAGTACATAAAACAGGAACTGCATTGTTGCCCATTAGTCTGGTAAGCTTCATGGACCATTTGCTTAAAAGTATGATGAGTAAAATGAGTGCCCAAAGATAAATTGTGAACACAAACTGTAGACCAGTCTTACCACATGATTCCATACCATTATAGAAACATGTCTCAATACCAAAGTCCATGTTGATCCATGAAATGAATTGACTCAATATAATGAACGCGTTAAAATGTGGGATTAAAGGTTGATAAATCTTAATGACATTAGCAAAGAAGAGTAGCCCATTGATGGTTCCAACAGTGACTGTTAGATTAAGAGCAACAATCAGAAAAACTAGAGCAATACCAAACATAGCAAATGGGATTATAAGAGCAAGATAAGCATTGCTGCATTCCCCACACCTGTTGGACCCCAGCATTAGACTGAAGTTATCAGAACAATTTCCACACAAGTCACCAGATCGATTAAAGGCACATTGTCTATTAGGCCTGCTTAAATCAAATGTATTATTGCCATTGCAATAATCAAAAGGACAACTTGAATATGATATTGTACACTCACTAGTGCCATTTAGCCATAAATTAGACCCAGGTTGTTTTGTCACAGAATTGTTAGTGGGATTGCAACTTTGAAATTTCCTGACTGATTCATTGATATATTCACAACTACAAACTTTTTTTGATAAGCAGAATCCCTTAGGACAGGGTAAAACTATGACATTTATTATTGGACTTGCCACACTTGTTTCATAAGCACTTTTAATAACGTCAATATTTTGTATAGTGACTTTCAGTGTAGTGTCAGTCTGATTTATGTCCTTTGGCTCAAAGATGTAACTGATCATTGTACAGTTAGCTGCTGGTATAAGATATGAACTGGCTAAATTGTTATTAGTAATATCAATAGCCCCAGTTGTTAAATTTTTAAGTTGTCCAACCACTGCCATAATAAAACCAATTTTTTGTCCAGGAAATGCTGAAAGATTCATTGTCCTTATACTGCAGTTAGGAGAGTTGTCATCATTACAGAAGCAGACATTGAGTGGATCAGATGATATAACAGAATAACCTGGTTGATTGACAAATGTACTTGCCTCTAAAAACAAAGATCGTCCAAAAAATAAACCCTCTGTCAAAAGACACGAATCTACAGCTCCTCCATAAACTGCTGTTCCTGCTAAACCTGCTGTATTGTTATCAAAATAAAAGTATGTTTTATTTTTAGTGTCCAAGAATTGAAAGAAGCATAAAGTAACAAAACCGCCATGAATATAATGAACTTCTGGTTGATCTATATTTATAGCACCTCCTGTAACTTCAGCACTATTGTCAATAAATGACAAATAGGCATCAGGGGATAGGTAGATATATGATGTTATGATTAAGTTAATCCCAGCTCCTCTACGACCAGTATTATTGATGAAGTAATTGTCACCAAAAATTGTAACAATTGCATTAACTAAACCAAGAGCACTGTCTTTATTGTTGCTGAAAGTGCAATTACTAATGTTTACTTTCCCATTGTTCAACAGAAAAGCACGTGAAGAACTTTCAGAGATTACACTGTCTGTGATACTAATAGATGGGCTATCGGAATCCATAACAAATGCTGAATTTTGTCTTTGATAAAATAACGTACCAGCACAACTAATACTCACTAGTTTATCAATCTGTAGGTCATACAGACTTGCTGTGCTGAGCAAATAAATTCCATAACTGCTGTCATACAAATGGACAGCAGTTATTCTTATATCAACGTAAACATTCTGATCAAGTATTAGGAATAGTTCAACAAATGAACCTGTAAAATTACATTCATTTACCTCAAGCAAACTTTGAGATGGTGAGTCATAATTGTATAAAACGTCAATAGAATAAACATTTTTGTAAAAAGAAGAATGATAAACTGTTAAATCACTGACATCAATGAACCATAATGCTATCCACTGGCTCTCCTGTAGTGACATGTAACTCAAATTTGCACTAGATGCATTAATAACAAGACCAGGATAACCATTCTCACTGCCATCCACATCATAGCCACAGTTTTTAATGGTAAGGTTTGATAGCAATAAATTATTGCAATTACCAAAAGTAACAGTTACATAGCCGATACATTTTATTGCCACTGGTGACTCCATGACAGATTTATGAGGATCTCCTCTCATCTTTCCTTTCCCTTGGAAAGTAAGATTGCTTCCCCATTCAATATTAATGTTTCTAGTCAAGTTGTGGATTCCGGGCAGGAAATAGTAGATGCTGTTATTTATAAAATCATTGTTAGCATACTTGTTAATATCCCAACAAGTAGTATCATTAGGACACTGTGAAGAATTATTGTTAGGATGAACATAAAACACTTCACCATTTCCCAAAAAGAAAGCAATAGATGAAAGAAAGAGCCACTGCAGAAACAGACACAATTCCATATTGTGCCCCTGACAATGACACTGGCAGAGCAAGAAACTGTGATGATAAGTGCAAGCATTAACTGTTAGCTTACATAAGTCTAGCTAGACTGGCTCTCCGTATTGTGCCTCTGACAATGACACTCTGACAGAGCAAAAACTGTGATGATAAGTGCAAGCATTAACTGTTAGCTTATATAGGTCTAGCTAGACTGGCTACAAATCATCAAATACACACTGTTAGTCAGGGCAGGTTTGCCTGACTAGTAAACTGTGCTGCTGTTTGCTCATCTACCATAGATCACTAATTACAGCAGTTTGCATAGACCGCAGTCTGTACTTGTTTAATGTGACCACACAATACTTGTATATTAGTAGCAAGGTCAGTGCAATTTGCTGAGAGTAGACTAATTTAGCTCATGATAAAAAAAGAATTACTGTGATAGTTGAGTTATGCTACTAGCTAGAAAAGCTGACTCAATGGACTACTGTTTTTCTCATAACTGTGACATATCAAATGAAAATCAGTTATTATAGTGATTGTAACATAATTAAGTCATTCACATTGTTATACTGTCTTGCTGTTTTTGGACTCTTCTCTTAGCAGCTCATCTCTTTCTTGTACCAGTGAAATGTACTGAGACTGCAGAGTGTTCTCTCTCCCTCAGTACTCAGTTATGAGCATTTTAATTGTTGAAAAAAGTGACTGTATCTCATTCTCATGTGACTATACCAATGTATAATTAATTACATTTAAAGATCTTACAATACAGTATTGTATTAACCTTTCTTTGCTATTAAGGCTTTAGTGTCCCTATTGAAGGTGACATACATTCAAAGTATGTACTGCTTAGTGATGCTAAGAGCACTACAAGAGGGTTATGATGATTACACTAATAGCATTATACTAATGTCTAAGCAAGAGTAAATAATGAGGTGGCTTGGCCTAAAGGATTTAATATTATCTTTGACTTGGTTTTAGAAATAGAGATAAAGAGTGAAGCGATACAAAGCAAAAGATACTGAAACTTCCTCCATCTCTCTTGCTCTACTCATTAGACATTTATTTTGCTCATTCTCAAATTATTTTGATCAAATTTATAATAGTGATTTTAAATGCAGTGCAGCTGTCATGCAGCTAATGCTGATGCACTACAAATGACATACACAACTTCCTTCAAAACATGTTTTATAAATACATTCATTAAATACATTCATTAAATATGTACAATATAATGTGTATAAAAATTTCTAATCAAAATGGGATTAAATTTTTATAATTTGACAAAAAACAAAAACCAGGGGATAGTCTGTACTGTAATGAACAAATTGAGGTCAATTCACAAACAGTCATAGACACAATTATTAATTAACTTAATCATTTAGAGTGTTTTTAAAGTCACACATCACACTTTAAAGTCTAAAAAACATAATAACTATAATTAAAAGTTCAGCTCTCCTGTATATCAAGTAATGGCTCACGTAACTCATAATGGACACTTGTATCAAACACTGTTGAAGTGACA